TTGTGGGAGGGCGTAGCCCACCATCCCACGCTGGAGTTGAACTGGCAACCTTGTTAGGAGCACGCGCTCTCCCAGCTGAACCATCCTGCCACCTATTGGCAGCTCAGCAGCAGCTCAACTCAGGCGCAGCTCACTGGCTCATGGGAGAATCGAACCGGTGACCCTGTTGCTCAGAGTTTGCACTCTTAACCAACGGAGCCACTTGGCCAGCCCTTAGTTATATTTTTTAAAGTTTCTTTGCCTCTCTGAGTCTCATTTTCTGCTTAGGTCAATTAAGTGACCATCTGTTAAGTTGTTTTGCTCATGATTGAGCAACATGTGTGTGTCTCAGATGGAGTATTGAAGTGGCTTCTGTCCTGGTCTCCCAGTTCCTTGCCTTTCCAGCAGCCACCAGATGGCACCTGTGGGCACCCGAGTCAGGTCTGGTTCCTCTGCTCACAGCCCTCCAGGGCTCCTACCCGCTCTGGGTAAAAGCCCAAGTCCTCCCCACTGCCCACAAGACCCTACATGACCTGCCCCTGTCCCCTTCCTGCCCTCATCTCATCCCTCTCTCCCCCTCGCTCACTCGGGCCTCCTTGTTGGTCCTCCAATGCACCAGGTACATTCTGCCTCAGGACATTTGCACATGCTGTGCCTTCTGCCTGGAAGGCTCTTGCCCCACATATATACATGGCTTCCTTCCTTACACTCTTTATGTTTCAGCTCATGTGTCATCTTCTCAGTGACTACCCTATTTTTGACATTGTATCCCTTACCCCAAGCTTTCCAGATTATCAGCACTGTGAAAGTGGTGAATTTTGTGTGTCTTTTTCCACTGCTGAATCCACCATGCCCAGAAGAGTCCTGGCATATGGTAGGTGTTGGTATTAGGATTTTCCAGAGAAACAGAACTAATAGGATGAATATCTATATATCTGTATCTATATACTACATATTCACACATCTAAAGATTTATTAATAAGCAATTGGCTCACATGATTATGGAGGGTGGCAAATGTCAAGATACGCAGGTGAAGTGAAAAGATCCTGAGGTGGGAAAGGATTTAGGAAACTGAGCGATGGTGAGCATGGCTGATGGGACAGGGCAAGAAACGATCTGGAGAGATTGGCAGGTGCCTAGTTGCAGGAGAGTGGGTTGTTGTTCTGGTTTGGGGTGGACTTGAGCTGTAGGACACTGAGCTAGTGGAAGAAAGTACTGGGAAGCTCAGAGTCGGGAGACCACAAGTGCCGGAAGTCTGCAAAGAAAAACGTTGCCTCTGCAGATGAAAGAGGAAGATGGAAATGAGAAGAAAGATACAATCTGAGTGCAGGGACGGGAAATAAAGAAGACATCCATAAGAGGCAAAAAGCCTGGCTCTTAAAACCCTAATCATGATCATTCATGTCTTTATAGCACTTTCTATAAAGAGCTTTCCCATGATATCCCATCTTACCAACTGATGCTGACAATATCATTGATGCCTCTCTTTCTTTCACACCCCTCACCCCATCCAATCCATTGGCAAATCCTGTTAGCATTACCTTCAGAATAAATCCAGAATCTCATGCTTTCCTCTCTCCCACTTGGGCAGTATCCACCGTCATTGCTCACCTGAACAAGGGCAGATGCTTTCTCCCTTGTCACCCTGCCTCTGACCCTCTACAGTTCATCGTCCCCACCAGTGGCCAGAAGGATCATGTTAAAACCTAAGTCCCTCCTCTACTCTAAACTCTCCCATGGCTCCCATCTCTCTCTGATGAAAAGCTGACATCTTACAATGGTCTAGCTTTGCCCAATTGTTCTTGTGAAGATTAAAGATATAACATATTCTCTGCACAGATCACGCCTGTCCTATTTGTGACAATGAAACATATGAAAGCATTCGTTTCTGGGGTCACCTTGTCCTGGAGGGAGAAACTCGAGCAGTTCAGGTTTCAATGAGAATGCTTTCTTTCCTCCAAAAGAATCTTCTGGAAATTCAGACCTATGTTAGCATCCTGCAGCACATCATCCAGACTACGACTCAAGCATCTGCCATTATAGGTCGGATGAGGGAGGTAAGAATCAGAGTCCAGGCTGCAGGGAAAGCATATCTGAAAGTTCTTACAGCCCCATGGGCCTGGTTAACAGACACCAGGGAAAGATATCAGGCCAGACCGCGTGGAGCTGCTGTGAGTTAACTCCATCCCACTCCGACTTCACATTCACATTAAAATTTACTCGTCTGTTCTTCTACTCAGACTGTGAACGCTGTTCTTTTTTTTTTTTTTAAGATTTTTATCAGGGAATTGCAGAGAGGAACAGTATTGGGGAATTGGGGAAGGGGAAACAGTGTGTTTTTCCAGGACCCATCAGCCCCAAGTCAAGTTGTCCTTCAATCTTAGTTGTGAAGGGCGAAGCTCAGCTCCAAGTCCAGTCTCCTCTTTCAACCAGTTGTGTGTGTGTGTGTCTTGGGGGAGGGGGGGCATAGCCCACCATCCCATGTGGGGGTCGAACCAGCTCAGCGCTCTCACCAGCTCAGCGGCAGCTCAGCTCACTGGCCCATGTGGGAATCAAACCAGCAACTCTGTTGCTCAGAGCTCGCACTCTAACCAACTGAGCTACTCAGCAGGCCACAGAATGCTGTTCTTTAGACATCCGAGGACATAAACTGTGTCCCTGACCATTTTCATAGGTGTTTCCTCTTGAGAATCATGGGTTGTTCTTCCTTGTATGGTTTATAAGAAACTGCCAGACTGTTTCCCAAAGCGGTGGATCGCTGTTGCATCCCCACCAGCAATGAGTGGCAGTTTCTGTGGCTTTGCGTCCTTGCCGGCACTGGGAAGTCGAGGATTTATTTGTTTTTGCTCGTTGCTCTTCTAATCGGTATGCTGTGCACCTCTCTGTGGTTTTAACTGCACCACCTAATGACTAATGATGTTGAGCATCTTTCTGTGTGTTTATTTCCCAATCATATGTCTTCTTCGTTGGAATATCTGCTCAAGTCTTTTGCTCATTTTTAAAATTGGGTTCTTTGTTTTCTTATCCCTCTTAGCAATTTGGCCATAGGTTTTGAATACAGACAGCCTCAGATAATTAGTATTATATTTTCAAGGTTGGGCTCTGCTAATGATTATGTAAGTTGGTGGCATGAAAACTATCAGGAAAGGATGGAGATTATTGAAGCTGGTTTTTTAAAAATGAGGATTTGGATGTAAAACATTATTTCCAATATGAAGTTCCACATTCCTTCTTCACTTAGCTCTCTAGTTGCTCAACAGGATATCAATGTATTGATTTTCCTAATGTGTTTTATGGGATTTTGTGATGCATATAAACATACACTGAAAAGGATGCAGATTAAAACAAAAACGTCATTGTGTCCCTTCCTCCTAGGTTGTGGTAGTCTGTACAGGGTTTTGTGGACTGGTCAAATGATAAGATTCTGGGTTTGTTTGTTTCTTTGAAAGGATGACTTAGGACAGTGGTTCTCAACCCTGGTGACACTTGGAATTGCCCAGGAGTCTGCCCAGACCATGCCCCAAGTCAATTAATTGGCCACCTGCACAACCAGTGGGCTAAGGTTGCTGACTGCTTGAGATTTTTTGTTTTAACTTGATTTTTTTAATATGAAAGCTTAAGAAATTCTCCAACTTACTTTCAAAGACACTCTTGAGCCCTGCCAAGTAACATCTAAGAGTCAGGAAAGTTATTTTTTTTGGCCTTCGTGGGGATATTTTTGTTCACCAATGATCATTTCAGGTTTCCTCAACTGATGTAACCCAGATTGCTACAAAATCCTAAAATAGCTTTTCCTAAAGCCTTAATTTTCTTTGTTAGAGATTTCTTCCCAGATACCTCATTTTCATTCTGCAAATACATTTTCCCCCTCTAATTCAAAGGTGTTTTACACCAAAGCACACTTCAAATCGTATCATCCGTTCCATGTGACAAAATTCTTCT